GCACATAGTTTGAAGGTCATTTTATTTTTATGCATGAAATTGTATACACAAGCCATTGGAAGGGAAGGTATCTCTATCTCAGCCACCCATGGAAAAAGTTTTAGATTTCAGGTTTCTGGATAAGGGATACCGAACATGTAGCAAGAGTTTCTGGATTAAATCCAAGTGTCAGTCCCCTGTTAGAATAGATACCAAGCATAAACCTTGGTCATTTTAAGTATTTAAGTCACCTGCCACTGTGATGTAAATTATTTTAATGAAAGATAGTATATACGTATATTTTAAAAAGCATTTAGGTATCCTTCTGAAATCAATTTGTTTAAATGTCAACTCTGTATATAATGCATACATAAAATAAAGAGCAACATAAAACCTTTTTGCAGGTTTACAGTGAAAAATTTTTTGCTTTAATGTTGCTTTGTTAGAATTATCTGTTGGACTGTAAGCCCCTTTGAAATTAAAACCTTCTGAATAAACATGATTGCAAGACATAACCGTAATAGTTTTCTTCTGCTTGTACAGAAATCTGAGAAGGGAAGTCATGGTTTGTTACTCTGTGAGTAGGCATTCACCAAGCTTTGTAATCACTACATCCCCCCACCCATTTTATCAATTCTTGGGCCTTATGAAAATGTATCTTCTAAGTGCTCTCAATACCTGAAACAAAACAAACATTATTTATTTATTTATTTATATCCCACTCTGCCCCCCCCCAAAAAAAATTGGGACTCAAAGTGGCTTACAATTTAAAAGCAGAGTATAATTTAAAACATACAAATGTGACCATTAGAGTAGAATTAAACTATTACAATATTAAAACTGATCACTTGTTTAAAAAATAGATATTAAAAAGAGAAAAAGTACTAAAAACCTTACAGGCGGCCCTCCTTATCCATGGTTTATTTTTTCCATGTATTCAAGCATCCATGGCTTGAAAATACTCATAAAAATTATAAATTCCAAATAGCAAATCTTGATTTTGCCATTTTATATAAGGGACACCATTTTGCTATGCCATTATATTTAATGGGACTTGAACAATAACAAGGGCCCACTGTACTTTAAAACAGAGCAAAAACCCCCAGGATAAAAATTTCTTTTTTAAAAAAATCATTTTAAAAAATGCTGGCTTGGTAAACAGGCACCTTTTAAGAAAGAGGTTCAAAATAAGGGGTAAGGGATAAGCATTTTTAATTTCCAAGAGTGGTGGCGTGCTTTGCCTGTTTTACAGATTTCAAAAATTTAAGTACACACAAGTGCAATTTTTGGCAAACTCTCTTGGCAAACAATCACATTTTAAGAAAGAGATTCAAAATAGATTGTAGGGGAAAATATCATTTATGTCCAAGAGTGGTGTGTTTTGCCCATTTCAAAGATTACAAAAAATAATATGGGCATAAATGTAAGATTTGGCTTGGCAAACAGTCACAAGAAAGGTGCTCAAAACAGGAGGAAAACCACCTTTTACTTCCATGTGTGTGTGTGTATGTCTGTGTGAGGTATATTTTGCCCATTTCAAAGATGGTGATAACCGAGCCCTTTGCTGGCCATTGGGACACCCTTTCAGAAACAAAAACAAAAACCCCAGGTTTGAACTTGAACTTGGCAATCATTTGCCCGCTTCCAACATGGCGCCGCTCCTCACTAACCCCCTTTCCCCCTCCCTCCCATCTCCGGGAAGGGCTCGGCTACACCTTCCCTGACGTCACTTCCGCTTGTGCAGCAGCCATTTTGTCTTTCCGTTGCTCCTGCTTGCCCGAGCTTCTTCCACCCGTCGCCGTGGACCGCGAAACTCCAGTTCCACCTCGGGGGGCGGGGGAGTCCATTACCGCTTCTAACCCGCTTCTAACTCGGATTTTCTCCAAACCCCGTTCCTCCTGCTTGGTCTCCTCTCGCCCTTCCCGAGAGAGACGCCCGGCGGAGC